GTGTGTGTATTCCTGTACCACAGAGTGCATGAGGAAGTCAGAGGACAACTTGGAGGGAGTCAGTTCTGTCCTTCCACCGTGTGGGTCCTGGGGATTGAACTCAAGGAGCCACCTGGCCAGGCCTGGGTTAGTTTTTAAAGGAGATTCTAAGGCCCTACTGTGGGTCTACTGAATTCTGATCTTCAGAGCATGAAACTAGGGAATTCTTTTTCTTTTCTTTTCTTTCTTTCTTTTTCTTTTTGCCTGCCTTCCTCCCTCCCCTCCCATTTAGGTAGTTCTGACGTGCAGGTATTTCTTTAAAAGAATACTGAACCAAGACACTATATTCTTATTATCAAGTCGATTATTTAGAGATACCAGAGTCCCCCTTTATCCATGGGGATACATTCCAGAGCCCCCCAGTGTGTGCCTGAAACTGAAGATATTACAATTTATAAATTAGGCAAAGTAAAAGATTAACAGCAATAACTGATAATAACATAGAGCAATTACAACAGTTATGTAGTAAAAATCATGTGATTGTGACCTTGTCTTTCTCTGAAAACACATATTTATATTTGAAACCATGGAGAGCAAAACTGATGATGAAGAGAGACTGACAGGAGTGGAAAGGAAGGAAGTGGGTGGGTTTGTGCAGTGCAACACGGCTGGATGGTCCTCCCAGAAACAGAAACATACCTCTCTCCTCACAAATTCTTTCCCATCCATTCTGCACACTGCTGGAAATCAAAATCTCTCTGATTTCTTTTATCTGGACTCCATAGAGACCAGGCCTTCCTTAATGTTATTTCTTTAAATAATTGGGTTATTCTATGGATATTAGATGACAGCATTTAAAAAATTAGCTCATTTAAAAAATTTGTATTATTATAGTTAGCATACGTTATAAAATAATGAATTTCCTTACGGCATTTGGCGAATGCATCAATGTAGTTTGCTCCTATTCAGTCCTTCATACCCTGCCTTGTCTTGTCTCCTCCTCCACTGGCCCCTTCCTACCCTTGAAGCCTTCTTTTTCTGCTTTCGAGTTTGATCTAGACTCCATCTATGAGAGACAACGTACTTCTCTCCTGCTTCATTACCCTCTCTCACTTCCCCGCTCCCTTTACACCCTTTCCTCCCCCACAGCCACTCTTCTACTGTCAATTACAACGTGGCTTGTTTCTACTTGGACATACCCCTGTCCCAGCAACCTCTGTAGTTCTTAGCTTCTTTAGCATCATGTTTAATGTCCTCTAACGACAAGTTGGAGACGGCTACGTGCACTCACGATTTAGTTTTACCCTGAGCCACCTCAATCCAGCCCCTCAAAATACTACATCTCAAACAAGATTTCTACTCAACTGAGAAGTCATCTCTTGACCCTTAACTCTATTAAGATCATCCTGTCTAGTTTCAAAAAGAGCATCATTGAATGCTGTCTAGGTTAGTACTAGCATAGATGATACATTTTTGCTAGCTTGCATTGTGGTTTTGGGATCAAACACAGGGCCTTGCACATGGTAGGCGAGTGCTCTGCTGCTGAGCTACACCCCTAGCCCTGCTGATGTGTTTTTAGAAGGCACTTCATACTGTTTACAATTCTTTAGGATTTATGAGCTGCTGCATGCACATCTGGGCTACGAGGATTGTCAGTAGTGTGCAGTCCATTTGCATAGAATGCTACTGTGGACAGTCCAACCAAACCCGGGACTTACCTTCCTCATCTGTCAAATATGGAAAGTGGAGACCTATTCTACAGAGTTGCTAAGAGAATAAAGTAAGTTAATAGAGAATGTACTTTATAAACCATAAAGTGCTTTTTTCTTTTAGTTTGGGAAGAGCACTGGACAGGACAGGAAGCAAAAATCAGTCAATCTGAAAGTCACCCAGTTATTATGTGGGCTCTCAGTCCAGAAGACATTAGCTAAACCTAAAGAGAATGGTTTTGGAAATTAGAATTTCTAGTACATTAAATTCTAAGTGGTTTTTGCTAATCAGGCCATCATCGATTACTTTACAGGGGGAAAAAAAATCCCTAAGCAATACTATTAAACAGAAGACAGTTTCTCTTTTCAGATCAGAGAAAAATCATAGCATCTGTGTTATTACATAGAATAACTTAGAAACATGGGGAGACAGCTCAGTCATGAGTTTATGTAGACATGAGGATATGAGTTTGAGTCCCCAGGACCCATGTAAAAAGTTAGTTATAATCCCAACTCTGGAGAGGTAGAGATAGACAGATCCCTTGAGGCTTGCTGGTCAGTAAGCCTAGCCTCCTTGGAGAAGGGAAGGGAGGGGAGGGGAGGGGAAGGGAGGGGAGGGGAGACCCTGATTCAATAAACAAGGTGGAGCCAGGTATGGTGGCTCATGCCTTAAATCCCAGCATTCAGAAGGCAGAGCCACATAGATTGAGGCCAGTCTGGTCTACATAGCCAGGCCAGCAGGGGCTACAGGAAAACCCTATCTCAAAACAAAACAAAGTGAAACTAAAGTAGATGGTGACTAAGGAACAACAGCTGAAGGTATCGTGCCTCTTCACACACGCGCGCGCGCACACACACACACACACGTGTGCATGCATACTTGCATACATATATGCACCTGCACACACACATGGGCATACGCACAGAAGAACAAAAAGAAAAAAAATGGAAGAGATTGAATAACCTATGAAAATATGACAAACCAAGTCAGAAGGTACATGGGCTAGCAGTTTTCAAACTGTTTGCAGGTTTGGCTTAGTGACTAAAGCATGACAGAGTGGTTACCCTCATAAAGCATTAAGTGTGTGGCTTCAAAAGTTTTTAAAACTGAAAGTAAAACTTTGTATTCATTTAGATGACTTCTGTAAATAATTACTGAGCATACAACTAGCAATCAAAGCATGACCCTGTCTTCCAGAAGGTTACTGTCAAGTGGGAAACAACTAAATACAAAGGAAAATTCCGGGTAGAAGTCTTGTTTATAAAAGGACTGTGGGAGCCCTTCAGGGGCTGGGGGACTGGTGACAAATATTAAGAATTCCAGCCACACAGGGGAAACAGTGTTTTGGCAGAGATGGCAGTTTAATATAAGGCAGGAGAAAGGACAAGTAACCATAAAAAGGCATAGAGGCAGGACAGGAGGTAGTGTTCTGGGAACTAGGGAGATCCAAAGGCAGATGTAATATATTGCCACCCAGGATGCGGAGGAGTCAGACTGCGGTCACTTGCTTGCCTGACCATTTTTCTGTGGGCAACAGCTGCTGCAAGAGGGTAGCTGGAAAGGGTAAGGTCTGTACCCTACTTTAGAATGTCCCTCTCAGTATGGTGGGGAGCCTGGGTGCGAGAAGGTAAGAAAGCTCAGCAGCGGGGCTGGCCAGCCAGGGTGTGTGGACCATCACAGACTTCTGTTGAGCTGTGGAATGAGCACTGGCTCTAATGTGCTAGACATTTTTCACCACAATGAGTTGTATGCTCAGTGTTAAAATTGAAGACAATTTTATTTATAATCTTATCTTTTACCCACTTACCCCTGTTACGTATAAAAATATCATCATGCTTGTCACTGATGAAAATAGTAGGAAAAGTGAAAAATACTTTAAAGTGCTTCTCTGGTAAGGATTTCATGTCCATTAATAATGCCTTGATGGGCTTTCAAAAACAAAAAGCATTACTCAAGTATTGGAAGAATTCTATTATAAATATTTGAAGTATCTTCTCAGCATTGATTATTTCATAATTTTTCATTATGTTTTCAAAATCCCTGAGAGGTCAGAAACTCATTGTGCAGCTAGAACAACTGAGGTAAAGACTATTTCCTGGTTTCCATGTGAGAGCCCACCAGGGAGATTATTGCTTTGGACCTTACCAAAGCTTGCTAAACTCTCCGTTTTGTTTCCTTTCTACATGGAGATGTGGAAGGGCTTTGAGATTGTTCTTTGCTGTTCTGAAGCAAACAGTGCGATGGGCAGCTGGCGAGCAGCAGAACCAGGCACTGCTTCGCAGCTTGCTCAGTTTAGAAGGAAGGATCCTGTAACATGATTGCTGGCAAAACACTGATGATGGGGTTTATAATCTTCAGAAGTCCCGGGTGATGTGTGTGTTATTGTTTAGTCATCTGTCTGATGTGTGTTCACTGGTGTCTTCCTGTGTGAGCAGCACGTAGCTTCCCTCGTCCCAGCCAATGCACGCGACAGCACTGCCAAAGCAAATGAAAATTTAACAGATGTGTAAGTAACCAAGAATCTAACTTTTTACACTTTCTGGCTTTTAATAAATTATGAAGGGTATGTATAACAAGCATATACTGGCATATTGAATTCCATAAGACTCATTATGCATAGCACTCTAAAATAACAAACTCCATGAGCATTTTTCTCTTCTTACTCCTCCTGCTTCTCATCAACCATAGCACTGTCTCTTTCTCCTAACTTCCCAACTTATTGTCAGGTGTATTCATGTCCAACAGTTCTTAAGAAAAGCACATTTTTGCAGTAAATGTCAAGAAATCGATGCCACTCTACTATTAGAGTTAGAAGATTCATTCAATCCAGCCACCATTGGATAAAATGATAAAAAAAAAAAGTACCTACCATAGACTGATCACTGGAAGGACTAGGAGACCAGCAGACAGCAGAAAAGTGAAGCCAGAGAACCAAGCAACTGTGACTGAATAAATTCCATTATAAGCAGAAACTGCTGTGACTCCACCAAGTGTTTCTAAGAAAGCAATACAACCAAACAGTGCACCTATTTGGGGCAGAGGTGTAGAGGGAGAAAGAGAAAGGTGAATTAAAGAGCAATAAAAAGTGAATTGACAAAATTATTCATGGAAAAGAGCAACCATGGGGGCATGACTTGGCAAGTAAAAGCTATTTCATCAAAATCTCTGAGAAGGGCCTGGGGACCATAGTTCAGCTGGTAGAGTGCTTGCCTAGCATGTATGAAATCCTGGGTTTGATACTCAGCACAGTGTAAACCTGGTATGGTGCTACACACCAGCAACCCCAGCATTTAGGAAGCAGAGGCAGAAGGATCAGAAATTCAAGGTCATTCATAGCTACGTGTGAAACCATGTCTCAAAACAAAAACAAAAAAAAACCTTTAGAAGTCACCAACCAATTTTTCAGATGAAGAAACTGAAGCCAAGCACTCTCTTTGGACTTGAATTTGATGGGAGAAATGTTGAAAACTCAAAATAGCTGAGCTCTGATATCCACAGGGCAGAACTGAAGAGGCACCAACAGCCGACTCCTTTGGAAACTGCAGTGTCTTTTCCTGCCACAGCCTCAAGCCAAGCCACACCACACAGGCAGAAATATCTATGGAAAATACTGTGTGGACATTTATGTATCTGCTTTTGACTAAAGCAATAGCTCTGTCAATGCCATGCGCCCATCTACCCTAGTTGTTGCTGTGTCCTCAGGACCCAGCTGTCCTGGTGCGTGGTAGACATTTCATAGGCATTTGTCAAATAAATGAATGAATAAAAGCTTAATTCAGGATCCTACTCATCAATCACACAGTAGCATATAGACTTACTGCTGTCATGATTTATGGTACCACACTGAGTATGTTTAACTGGCTCTCCCACTTGCTTAACTGCAACATTTTATTTGGATCCCTTGCTATGCCCAGAAACAGTGCCACACTGCAAAAACAAGATTATGCAGTGCAACTTCTGTTATGTAAGGGGATTAGTGCACTCTTGATGGGAAATAGGCTAGGCGGGCACCCTGTCTGACACAACCTGCTCTTACCCAATATTTTTAGCTTGTTTCTAGACTTCTCTGAGCACTCCAACTTGTTTAGGAGATGTAGAGATAAGTGGGGATCAAATAAATCCAGCTGAGTACTTTCTAATTTATTTTTTTAATTTAAATTTTTTAAAAAAATTTAATGAACTAAAAAATTCAAGTCTGTTTTATTGGGTACTGATTTATCACTGTAAGGAGTTCGTGAGTGGTGCCAAGGTGGAATTAGCAAGTCCAGAATGGGTCCAACTGTGAGTTTCTCAGTTGAATAGAGAACAAAGTTCTTAAAAACATTACCAAAAAGTTATTTTCTCACCTTGCTGTTTTTGCAGTGCTGGAAAATGAACCCAGACATGCTAAGCATGTGCTCACTTACTGAGTTGGCCCCCAGCATCTGAGCTATCTGCTTTCAGGAGCAGAGACTGGTACTCGGTAACCTCTGAGGTAGTTCCCCTCCCCAGATTACTATAAAGGACCTCCATCATATTTTCACAAAATCACCGTTTTCAAAACACAATGAAGGATGAGGATATATTTATGGAAATTTTGACACCATCTAAAGTTCTTTGAGGAACAAAATAAACAGACCATCCTAGAATTAATGGAATCACAGCCACAAAGTCACTGCAATTCAGATTTAAAATACCCAAATATAAGCTTAACATTCAAAAATGTTACCATATTTAATATGACTTTGTTAAAATCTGAGATGATTCTGTTTGTTTTGTTTTGCTTTGTTTGTTTTTTGAGACAGTGTCTCCCTGTAGCCCCAGTTGGCCTGGAACTTATGTAGACTAGGCTGTCCTTGATCTCACGGAAATTCTTCTGCTTCTGCCTCCCAAGTGCTGGGATTAAAGGCATGAGACACCATGCTTGGCTCTGAGATGATTTTTAAAGTCTTCATAAGCTAAGCCAAATATAAACAGAACAAACTATACATCTTGGCAAGTCTCTTCTAGCTCCAAGTCAAATCAGGTGAAACTTTTTCCCTTAAAAGCTTTCTTTGTTTTGTGTTTTGTTCTGTTTTTGAGACAGGGCCTTGCTACATAGCCCAGGCTGGCCCCATATTTGCAATCCTCCTCAGCCTCCCAAGTGCTGGGAGTACAAACATGTACCTAGCTCCTAAGAGCTTTATTAACATATAATTCACACATCATAAACTCTTTTAAAGTGTACAATTCAGTAGTTTTAGTACATTCACAGAGTTCTGTAATCATTATGACTACTTAACTAGAATATTTTAAGATATTTTTTTACTTTTTAATTGTATGTGTGTGTGTGTACACATACAGTATGTACATACATGTTAATCAGGTGCCCAAGGAGTTGAGAAAAGAGTGTTGGAGCCCCTGGAGCTGGAGTTACATGTAGTTGTTAGCTACCAGACATGGGTGCTGGGACTCAAGCCCTCCATTTTAGCAGCAAGTTCTCTTAACTACTAGGCCATCCCTCAGCCTTTAAGTGGAATGTTTTCATTACCTCAGCAGGAAACTTTAGGGTCAGTGCAATGGCTCAGCAGTAAAAGCACTTCCGACCAAGCCTGGGGACATGAGTTTGATCCCCCGCAATGACACAATAGAAGAAAAGAGAGAATGGACTCCTGCAAGATTGTTCTCTGACCTCTAAATGGATGTCTTGGTGCACACTTCATGAATGCGTGTGTGTGTGTGTGCGTGCACACACATGGTAAATGTAAAAAAAATTTTTAATTTTTATTTATTATTTTTATTTTATGTATATGAGTATATTGCTTGCATGTGTGTAACTGCATCTGTGTCATGCAAAGTCCGAAAAGAATGTCAAATTTCCCCAGAACTGGAGTTATTGATGGTTGTTAGCCACCATGTGGGTGCTGGGAATTGAACCCAGGTCCTTTGTAAGAGCAGCTGGTGTAAAGCACATTTTCTTTATCCATTCTTCTGCTGATGAACAGCTATGTAAAACATTTTAAAAAAGGAAACTCTATGCCCTTATCAGTTCCTCCCTTTCCCCCCTACCCCTGATATGCCTACCCTATTTTCTATCTCTATTTCTATTTTTTATTCTGAACAGTTAATATAAATGGCACAAAATTTATATGATAATGTGTGGCCTTTTGTGACTATCTCCTTTGCATTAACATAATGATTTCATGGCTTACCCATGCTTTAGTGTGTATCAAAACATACAATCCTTTGGCAGACATAGCATATTTTGTTTATCCAGTCATCAGTTCACAGTCATTTATAATGCTTCTATTACTTGGGTATTATGAAAAATGCTGCTATGAACATTTGTGCCCAAGATTTTATGCAGACATGCTTTCATTTCTCTTGGGTAGAGATGCAGAGGAAGAATTGCCAAGTCATGAAATAATTAGCTTCCGGAGAAGTGGCCCATCTGTTCTCAACAGTGGCTGTACTGTTTTGTAGTCCCACTAGCAATCGGTGTCTGAGCGTTCTAGTTTCTCCACATCCTCACCAATGCTGCTATGGTCTGTTTTATACTGGCTAACCTAGTGGGCCTCATTGCAGCTTTCATTCCCATTTCACTGATGGCTAATGATGCTCAGCATTTTCTCATGTGCTCAGCAGACATTTCTATATCTCTTTTGGAGAAATGTCTATTCAAATCATTTGCCCATATTTACTTGTCTTTTGTTGTTAAGTTTGTGTTCATATATATGCTGTACACAAATTATCAGATGGAATTTATAAATATTTTATCCCATTCTATCCCATACTGCCTTTGACTTAAATTTATCATATCTTTTGGAACACATTTTTTTCCCAAAGTATAGACTTTGAATGAAAGTATTCCATGAAGTTAAATTTATCTAATATTTTCTTTCATTATACTTTTGTTGTCATACCTGAGAAACCAATACATAAGCCAAGGGAACAGTTGGATGCTTCCCCAGGATAGTTACCAAGTTTTATATTCCTAAGTGCTCTCAAGGTAATTGTCATGACAACTGTATGCATACACATCTTAAGCTTATGAATCACAAAGAACCAAGAATTACATTTAAAATTATTTTTTTTAAATTTATGTATTAGTGTTTTGTCTGAATGTATGTAAGTGCACTCGTGTCATGCAAAGCCCGTGAGGGTCAGAAAAAGGTGTCAGATCCCCTGGAACTGGAGTTATAGATGGTTGTTAGCCACCATGTGGGTGCTAGGAACTGAACCCAGGTCCACTATAAGAGCAGCCAGTGCTCTTAAATGCTGAGCTATCTCTCCAGCCCCATTAAAGTTTACTCAGTTATGCAGTTTCCCCCCAGTGACAATTTCATATGCTAATATCTACTAACAGCCAATTCCAAGTGCAATTCTTTTCTTCTGTGGGGTGATTCTCTGCTTTCCTCTCCCAAACTCTAGTCTCCTGTGCTCTGTTCTGTGCTTGATGACCCCTCAGTTCATATAACCCGGGCTTTCTTGATGGACAACTTGTTGTTGCACTTGATCAAGGAATAAAGGAAGACTAGGCTATGGTATAGTTTCTGTGCTCCCTCTCTATCTGGGGCCCCTCTCTGGCTGCTTCCACATTACCACTCTTCTGTATTATCCTTCATGGAAGTCTCTAGATTTGAGCCAACTGAGTATTTCCAATCTGGACTCAGATTCAGGTCACAAAGAAAAACACTATGGAGCCCAGTGTAAGAATGTAACTAAAGGCTTACTATCATTTTCTAAGTATGGCCAGCCTTCTGTTTCTGTGGGTTTCACATTTGAAGAGCCAGCCAACCACAGGTCAAAACTATAGGCAGGCCTGTGATGGATGCATCTGCATCGAACATCAACAGCATCTTTTCCTGGCATCATTCCCTAAACCACACAGTAAAATGACTGTTTGCATAGTGTTTATATTGTCTTGGGTATTATGAGTCATCTAGAGATGATTAAAAGCTGTAGGATATGTGTAAATTATATGCAATACTATTTCATTTTAAATTATTTTTATTATTTTTATTAATTTTTGGTCAGTATGAAAAATAATGAGTTTCACTGTGACATTTTCATACATATGTATCATAAATTGCTCATGTAAAGGACTTGAGCATCTGAGTTTTGATGTCTGTGAGGCAACCCCCTGTGAGGTGACCTCCTGTGAAGTGACCCCCTCAGACATCAAGGGATGGCAGTTTTTACACATTTATAAATATGGCGAATGAACTGTTTAGGATAAAATATGTTGTGTTTCCATACTGTGGGAAACATTCCTCTGTGATGATCACAGAATCCCCAGCATTCCAAGGCTTTTTAAGAGTTCCATGTAACAACATGATAGCACTGAAAGAGTTGTCCCCAGCCTGCCACCCGCCCCATCCTACTTCCCTTTGCTCTGTCTGCCTCAGAAGGGGTCACTCACAAAGGGGTGTAAACATCTTTGCTGTGCAATTCCAAGGTCAGGGCAGACCAGCCTATGAAGACCAATCCCACTGGCTCCCCTCTAGTGGAAAGGGAACATGTGAGAGTCACAGTTCACAGAAGAGGATCATCCAGACACTCAGAAGACCTGTGCCCAGAGCTCCCTCAGCTGGAAATTATGGGGACCCAAGTAGCTAGAATGCAATTAGGAGGGGCAGGGGTGTTGGAGGGTCCCAGTGAATATATCTGCTTGACTCCAAGGTCTCCTTTCTCTTTAGGCAGAGACAAGGCCAGAGCAGCCCTTTAAATCAGAGTCCTTAGACAGGGCCTCCTCTGCTTGAGTATAAACCACTTCCTAACAAAACCTAGTGCTTACTTCAAAAAGGGGACCCTGTCAGAAAAGAAGTGTAGGATACTATGAGGTTTCAAACATCAATCATATAGATTCAAGTTGGTACATTCGTTACATTCTTTAAACTCACCTTGTTCAGTAGAGTGAACCACTTTTGACAACATGGACCGCAGAACAGAGAGTGGCATGATGACAAAAAGGAACGGCACCCTGACTGTGAGAGAAAGGATTGGATAAACCAAGTAAGAGTAAGTCAGAATGCCAACAGCCAGCTGTATACAGAAGCACTCTTGTCTAAAACTGCACTCCTACCAGAGTCCTGACTCATTGTATCTAAAGATCCAGTCAATTGTACATATGCTTAATAAATTAATGGACTATAGGCAGATCATTTGAAGCTTGCTTTACTCTAGAATTCTTGTTTTCACACTACAAATAGCATTCGTGGAAGTTTGGGGTCCAGATGTATTTCATCTGCCAGTCTGGTCCAGGTAAGACCCATCTGCCTATTTTTCTAATGCTGTAGTAATCTCTTATTTAGCAGTTCTTGACTAACCAGCCTTTTGTTGTTGTTGTTCTTGGTTTTTAGGACTTAGCACTCTTAGCCTTTTCTTTCCTTTATTGTCAGGACTCCTCATAGGTCAACTGGCTCTTGCTTTGTTGGCTCACTTTCTGGCCAGATAACTTCATGAACACAAATTGCCTCTGCTCTTAATTTTGATTCTTAACAGTACTATTTTTAGTTATATCATAAAATGATGACTTTTATGTTTACAAATAACTTACAGTCCTCAAAGTATCTTCACATGTTAACTTATGTAGCTTTGGCACTCTTAAGGAAACAGAGTGGGCATTTACTGTAAGAAAGGCACTGTGCTAAGTTAAATGTTTTACAGTTCTCTCATACTCATTATAACCCTCGGCATGAAGTATTACTATGCCCATTCACAATGAGAAAACAGGGGCTCAGAGGAATTAACTTGCCAAGGTCACCTGGGGCTATTGGTCGAAATTAATCCTAATTCTGTTTATTAGAATTCTCTGGCAGGTAGCAAAGAGTTAACATTTTCATGGTAGAAAAGACTACCTTGAACTTTTCCCAAGTTTCTACATTATCATTCCATAACCCTTTCCAATGCAGGATCCCATTCAAACTCTACAAAAACTGTTCTGAGTACGGCAATGGAAATTACTGACTTGCAGTCCAGCAAAAGTCAGTTCGTGAAGTAACTGATATGCTGAGAGATCAATATGCAAAGACTGCCGTAAAGAATTTTCCTCTTGAAGAGGGTCTGAGAGTTACTTTCCCTAGTGCATCAGGGACAGGAGAACAGGGAAAACCCTGAGTGTCTCTCCCTCCTTCGTCTCTTTGGGAGTGACATTTATGCTCTCTGATCGCAGATTAAGGTCCCAACAGCACTTTCCATCCAGGCTGTGACTAATAGTTGACCATGAAATTGTTGGTGGAGCGTATCCAGGATATTTTTTTAAAATTAAGAGAATAAGACAAACGTCAGATTACATTAGAGAAAAAGGAAGAATTTTCTCCTTGAATATATTCAAACATAAATTTTTCTTATAAATCTTGTGGACATACTTTATATAATTGCCCTATTTCTTAGAAAGTTGTCTTCTGAACAGCATTTTAAGAAATGTCCATTTAGATGAAAGCTATGTTCAAGAATTGAATCATATGAAGACTGTCCCTGGATACACTTTTGGGAAATATGCATATTTTGGAAATTGTGGTTATGCAGTGTATTCATAGTTTTTAATAAATATAACTCTCAGATTATTGACTTCTAGCAGGCTAGCTTTGTACTTTTAATTTAAACTGATTGGGTTAACAGAGAGCTTTATATTAAATATTACCCCAACAGACTGAATTCATTTTACATAAAATACAGTTAGGAGTGACATTTGTAACTCACCTAAGAACATCATCAGTGTGGTTCTGGCAAAAGCAGTGAGAGCCATTCCTACCATGGTGGTAAAAATTCCAATGAAGGCCATGTGGATATCATTAATGCAGTAAGAAAAAAGCCATATGCCTAGGAAGCTACTCAAAAAGGAAGCACTGCCCAAAGCTGACCCATAGCCTATATAAATCTCATTCCAACAGAGGGGAGAACCCAGCTCATAGAGTGTGAAAACAGGGGAAACACCAATTATCACGAAAAAATAAATGACTATGGTAAAAATCAACAAAAAGAGTAAAGACCGCCGCTTACCAGAACCATTTTTAAAAAGCATATAAGTTCGGTAAAATAGGTCTTTAAAGCTTTCAATACATGACATAGTAACAACTTGAGAGGAAGACTCTTTTATGGGATCATTGAGGAAAAATAAAATGTAGATCAAGTTAATGGTAAGAACTACAGCAATAATGAAAAACGACCATGTAAAACCCAGTTCTCTGATAAAATAGCCAGAGGACAGGCCTGTTAGCCCAGTAACAAGTCCAAGCATAAAGTCAATGACAGCTATTCGAATGGTTTTTTGCTTGTCTTCTTTACACTGATCCACTATGTAGGCAAAACAAGCTCCCCAAAATGTGGTGTAATTGCCAAAAAGAGCAGCAATGAAGGTAGATGCAATCAGAAGCTGGATTGGAAAGGCAAAATAGGACAGCAAACAGAGCCAAATGTTGGTCCCAAGAGCTCCAATGGAAGCTAAAACCATGGGAAGTTTCCGTCCATGGTTATCGCTACTGGACAAAAGTATGAACGTAGACAGCAGACCAGGAATTAGCCCACTTATGTCTACCTGCAGGTTGAAAAGAGATGTTTTTTTCTGAACTTCCTGCAAAGAAATACAAAGAAAACAACAGGCTTACAGAGTTATAGACTGTGCATAAAAACACCATGGTACCTACTCCCTTGATAACACCTCTGGTTGGGGGGGGTTGGGTGCATGAGGGATAGCATAGCTTAATTTTCATGCAGTTACAAACCAGGTGTCAGAAGGTGGAATAAGCCACACTCAGCCAATATACTTACATACCACACACAGTGGAGATTTAAATCCATAAAAAAATAATGTGTGCACTGCAGTGTGTCTGTCTACATAAATGTCCTACACACATCACAGCCTCTTTCTGGTATTGGCCATAGGATGGATTTTTTTCCTTCTTCTGATGAACCATTTGCACTGAGAGATCATGACTACTGTTCTACAGCAAGGTGGCCCTTGCTCTGACAGGTCTTTCTGTCTATTAAAGGAGGGATCAGCTCACATTGACACAGTACTTGGGAACCCTTTATTTAAGCAGAGCTCTGCTGCTCTTTTCATCTTTATGTCTATAAAGATAGTGATCAGTGAGAAATGTACTCCTTTACGAAAGAAGTAATAAGATAGATCCTAAGGAAGAGCCTTCAATGACTAAGAACTATGAATGGAGACTATAAAATTGTCACCAAATGATGACAGACAAGAACATATGAGTGCACAGGTGTACACATGAATGGGGAGCTGTGACTGCCACTATGTTAGTCATTTGATGGGAAAAGTTTTGGCATTTTGTTTGCCATTTCTCTAAAGTGGGTGTGCCATTTTTATAATGTAAGTGCTGTTTACTAAAAGCAAAAGACTTGTGCTGTCAGAAAGCAGCCTAAACAACTAATGAGCTATAAAAAAAAAATCAAATGTTTCTCTTTCCTCCTACAACCTAACTCATAAGGGGAAAGAACTTTGTCTTCTTTTTTTAAAAAAAATTATTTATTTTTTACTTTATATGTATGTGTGTATTGCCTGCATCTAGGGTAAGTGTACCCATGTCGTGCAATGCCTGTGGAGGTCAGAAGAGGCTGTCGGATCCCCTGGGACAACTGTTAGCTGCCATGTGGGTGCTGTGATTCAAACCCAGGTCTTCTGCAAGAACAACCAGTGTTCTTAACCACTGAGCCATCTCTCCAGCCCCAGAACTTTGTCTTCTTTAGGCTGGTGTCACCACCTCTGAGAACAGTGCTGGGCACAGGGTGGGTGCTTGGTAGATTCTGAATGAGTGTGTGGCTGAATGAGATAAGGGGCTCTGTCACTTTCCAGATGCACAGGATATGCTCAAACTCTTACTTCTATAGCTTCTTTGTCTGACAGATGAGGATAAAAACATTTCTTGCTTCACAGGCTATTGGGAGGTTTAAATTAGAGAGACATGTGAGGTACCTGGCACAAGGCTCTGGCCCATGCTCAGTGCCCAAGCAGCTTTACCTGTTCATGAGCATGCCTCCCTGAGAACCTCTCTGTGTGTCTTAAAGAAAGAGTAGCCATCAAGTAAATATTTATTTAATAAATAAGTAAAAAGTCATTCTTTAACCAACTTCTCAAACACATATTCCATTTGGGGTTCCTGTTCTCATTCTCACTGGGCCACACAAGCCTGTCTTCCCATTTCAGCTACCATTCCCAAGCCAGTTTTGCACAGACTACCTCCCAATCTGCAGTCTGTTGTAAAATACAGATTTTAACAAAATAGCCAATGCATAGTTTCATCATAAGTCCATAGTTGAGGCATAAGAAACAAATTGTGTGGGTGCCTTTAAAATTCTGAAGAATTATATATCCTATAAGGGTCGAGAGAATTCAAAACTACTATTTTCTATTCAAGATAGAATGACTAAGCACTGAGACAGGGGTACATGGAGGAAAGCTGAAGCAACTTTGAAGTCACAGTACAGCAGGGTAAAGGGTATAGATTAATTCCATAGACAATATCCCATGTCACTTTTCTTATGTAAGAATCTGCTGGTAACAAGATATTACAAGGTTTTTATAAAAATTCTTCAGAGAACATCAAAATCTCTTAGGTTTCCCCTAGTAGCAGAGTCCCTATCTTAAAAATTACCTGAGTAGGACAGACTTTGGTTGCTAATTTATTGCCTGAAAGGCAGTAATTTAACAAAAAAGAAGGTGTGAGGAGTTATAAAATTCCTTTTGCCACAAAAGTCAACAGGTATGGCTAGAATTTCTGAACTTTTCACTCCTTACCCAAAAGCTCCTGCCAGTTTGCTGAGGGTCCTGTGGAAATTAATCCCATTGACCATGAAAAGTATATATGTGTGCCTTCTAGCTACAGGGTCAGAGAACCTAGAACTTTGAAAATATAGATTAAGTCAATAATAAGGTTCGGTTTTTAGATAGGATTTTACTACATAGCCCAGGTTGGTCTCTAGTTTATAATCCTCCTGCCTCAGCAATATTGTATTATATGAGCATATATATATTATACATATATTAAGAAGAATGGGTTGAAAAATAAGACTTTCAAAATGTCAAATATAGGTGAGGGAGCTCAGTTTATTCTTTAATTCTGTCTTTATTTTTGAGACAAGATCTCCCTATATAACCTGACCTGGCCTTGAACTTGTGATTCTCCTTCCTCTCCCTCCCAAGTACTGGAATTACAGACATGTTCATAATGAGGCTTATTCTTTTTTATTTTGTGACAACAAAGACTGAACCCAGGGCTTTGTACATGCCAGGCAAGTTCTTTATCAATGAGCTACTTTCTGAAAAGAATCATCTACTTGCTTTATTAGGGACTCAACCTGGACTGACACCCTATTTTTGAGATGAGTAGTGCATAAACCCCAATTCCTTTTGGAAACTGAGGGGCCAGAGTTCACCTAGCAGAGATAGATGCTGGAGATGGAAGCTCAGAGCAGGAAATGTGACTCTCGGATTTAGAGGGACGAGGATGTTCTCTGAAAAGCCCAGAAGGAACTAATGAAGGCCATGCTGAGGGGGCCACTCTGCCTGTCCCTGTTCCAGTTATGGGTGGCAGGGTAGGTCTAGGTGGGGGTGGTTTCTAGTTCCTTACTTTAAGAAAAAGTACCAGAGGTCTAAAAGTATCAACTTTAAGGGAAGAGTCTTTTGAATATTAATCCAATCAAAAAACAAAAAATGAAAAAGCAATCAATTTGAAAGTTTGGTCAAAATCTTCTAAACAAGATCTCTGTTCTGGGCAGTGATGGTGGTGATGGGGTTGTCTGAGGCCAGGCCAGGTTGGAGGGGCCATCACTCATCACTTGTATAGATGATGAGGCCACCAAGATGGCTGGACTGGGGCTGGCTTCCCCTCAGTGCAGGAGGACACAGGTGCAGCAGGCATGGGGCACTTTCTTCCCAGGTTCCTCCCACAGGGACAAGGAGCTTGCTCCTGTGGCCTAGTGAGGGATGAAGGAAATCCCAGACCCAAACACAGAAACGATGAACCTGTGGAACCTTCTCACTCCTAGGAAAGATGGATCATAAAACTTTGCTTTTCAGTACTGAGGAATCAAACTGAGGGCCTTGTATATGCTAGGCAATTATTCTAGCAGTCAGCTACAACCCCCTTCCTTTCTTCCTTCCTTTCTTCTTTCTGTCCTTCCTTCCTTCCTTTCATTTATTATTATTATTATTATTATTATTATTATTATTATTATTATTATTATCTTGAGACAGAATATCCCAGGCTTGCCTTGAACTCGCAATCCTCCTCCCTCAGCCTCCTAAGTACTATGATTACAGGTCTGTTGAATACACTGTTGAGACCATAGGCCATTCAATGAGGCCCTTGCCCTTCCTTCTCTTTATGACTATACTCTAAGCCAGAACTTGATGACTGCATGACTAGGCAGAATTATTCAGCTCCAAGAAAAATTTTCCAAAGGCATGAGGAAATAAGTAAGGCCTGAGGTTGTACCCAACAGTTGGACCTTACCCTGTCCAGCCTCCACCTGCTACCTTTGGGCAGCTCCACTGAGCTTCAGAACATCCCTCTGGGGCCCTCTGCCACCTCCTCACCTCAGACTCATTTCCCTGCACAGAGAGACCGTGAGAGCCGGCATGACAGCTCAGCACCATGACCTCTTCTCATCTGTGACTGGGCAGGCGGTGCCACTTTTTTGCCTTCACAAAATATTGTCAAGGAGAACAGTCTGAGCTGGTAAGCATAGTTTTTGAGGCACTGAAGGCAAAGCATTTCTGCATCTGATGCCATACTTGGACAGATAGACTTTTGGTAAACAAACAAACAAACACCACAAAACTGAGGAAGGGTCTAGAGGGGAAGAGGGTCCTGAGAGCTAAAGTGAGCACTCTGCAATCCAGACGTGGGCACACAGCTCAACTTGTGGGAGACAAGCTTACTAATGACCACCACTTCAACAAATACTGCCCCACCCCCACCAGTGACAGAGTGGCCACAGCCTTAAGTGCTGTGACTCCAAGCCACTTTCTGAAGTCCTTGAAAGCTGGGATGTGCAGATGCAGTGGGAGGGAGCTGGCAAGGGGGAGAGAGCCTTTCTCCCACCAGGGCAGACCCTGTAGCTCATTCCCCAAGACTAGGTCTGTGCTGAGGTTTTCAATCAGAAAGAAGAGCCTGTGCCCATATGGGGAAAGGGATTTTAGGAAGAGGTAGATAAAGGTGTCAGGAGGAAACCTGAAATGAGGTGAGAACTGAGAACAGAGACCAGGTTACTTGATTTGTGCTTGGGGGAGGGGGGGCACCCTGGGGGAGCCCTTCCTTGTGTGCTAGTGCCTCTTTCCTTTTCAACTGGTTTCCCATGTGATTTGACTACATCTTAGGGCTAAAGTTCTTACCTCCCTGAATTGAAAGACTGGGTCGCTTTGGTTTTGCTCACATTCAGAAAAGTTGCTGTCCGACCCAAAGGTGTAGTTGCCGTTTTCTTCCCATATTCTCCGATACACATACTGCGCTGTCAGTGGGATGGTCAGAGTCATAGCAAATGCATTAAGGAGAATGGCCGGCTCAATGACAGAAACCTTCATATTTCTTGGGTAGGTAGGTGAGATCTATTGGGGAAAAGAAAAAAAAGTGGGGGAGTGAAGTAATGAGTTGCACTCTTAGCCCAGAGGCTACGTTTTTCAAAGATAGGGAAGTCAGAGCAATACTGTGGCATAAACATGAACCAGCAAGCTAGAGATCAGACAGGCAGAGTTCCAAGTTCCCGGGAGACTGCTTTTGCTGCTAGAGGTGCCTGAAGAGCTAGGAACTCTGCAGGGTTCTCACAAGTTCTTGCGGGTCTTAGTCACCATTCACAGTTCCTGCACTGAACATTACCAGCTGCTTTCCCAAAGGTAAACAAAGATGGTCCACTGGGGACTCCACAGTTGCGCAACTGTTATTATTTGGCTGCATGCTGAGGGCCTTTTAAAAAGCAGCTCCGGGTCCGAAGGGGATTTAAAAAAAACTCACCCCGCAATTACGGTCTTCCTGCCAGGCTGGGTGCAGGTGAAACCATTTTCAGGGCCTTGTCTTCGGCTGCTCAGCTCAGCACCCGGTCTCCGCGGGTGCAGGCTCGAGGCGCGTCGAGCGGCTCGGGACCCGGGAACCCGAGGAACTGGACCCCTCTGAGGCCAGCGCACTTCCTGGTCCCGAGTGGCAGTGGACGCTCCTCGCTGCTCCCGCGGACTTGGACCCCGCTGCTCCCGGCGGGATCACAGTCGCTCAGTCTGCGGCCCCCGCGGTGACTCAGCCTCACCACCAAGCATCACTGGCTGTGGGGAGGTGGGGTTGCCGCCCCGCACTGTCACTGTCCTCCTTAGAGCTCTAGCGGTTGGGCACCCCCGCGGCCGGCACCCCCGCCGTGGGATTGGTCCGCCGCAGTGTCACTCTCTTGCGCCCGCCTCTGGAGGCCCCGGCGCAATCACCCTCCAGTGCTGGGAGGCTGGGTGGCTGGATGGCTGGATGCCTGGATGCCTGGGCAGCTCCGCCCTCTTGCTCCACGGTCCTGCAAAGCTCCTGCAAAGCATTTCTGGGTCCGAATCTCATATTTCACCCAAGCGTAAAGATCTCTTACAGCACCCCATGGTGGTGCACGAGGGTTGTCGAGGCAGCAGGATTGTTCGAGAACAGCCTGGGCTAAGTAACAACACTTAGCAAAACAAAACAACAAACTGTGTTGCAAAAGTAACAGGCTTGGGCTGTAGTTCCCTGCAGTGTCTGCCAAAGAAATCAAGAGGAGGAGATAAGATTCTGGAAGGGTAGTAGAGGGCCCAGGGCCAACAGCCTGAGATTGGAATGCGGTCACTGCCTCTTCCTAATGAACAGTTTGGTGGCCATGGGGAAATTTAAATCTCTATGAACCTCCATTTCTTCTTCTCTCAAGAGAGCATAGTTAATTTTACAGCGTGGGCAGCAAAGCTCCTGAGACACTGGGAGAGGAATCAATGCCTTCCAACTCACAAGCTGGAACACACCTGTAGCCCATGGACTTGGGCTTATTGACTGTTGAAGTAGAAAAGAATCAGGAAGGAATTCTATAAATTATGGGCAGCATTCTGTGATTTGGGAAACTGTCCAAGAAAGCTAAGTCTTACCGTGGAGTGGTTGCTGTCAGGAAGTGGGGACAATCCTTTGATTAGGTATTTTAATAAATCTTAACTGGAAGAAGTCAAGGTCAGATGGGGGCTAAAGTCATAACTGATAAAGGAGCAGGGGTCAGAAATATCATTTTTGTAGTATAGACAATTTTAAGTTTGGATGTTCAGATAAGACCATGGAATGGCCTTATTTTTGTCTATATGGATGTCCAGAATGGCCTTGTACAGTGTTCTGTGAGGTTGTTTTCAGTCACCAGAACACAGTGACCCAGAAAAGTTCATAGCAACTGGCAGGCCAGGTTTATAATTCCAGAGCCAGGACCTGGTGCCAGAGCCTCTTTATCTTCCTCAGTACTCAGGAAACAATTAGTCACTGAATGTGGATGACAGCATCTTTGTTTTGAACCCTAATTACTACCTTATAGCTTATAACCTTAGGACTTGCCTCTTCTCAGTTTCTTCAAATGAGCATTTAGCAAGCAAGTACTACAGACTTCCAAACAATGGATAATGGGCATTGGAAAGAAGGTGTGAAAAATAAATAGGGTACAGTTCCCTAGGAAGACATGATATTTTTAAATCACAGCACATTGTATTGTGTGGTAGATCAGGGACACCTTCAAAGTGGGAAGGGCCACTGAGGAGAGTGGACTAACCAGCTCTACTGGAGTGATGGAAATCTGACAGCCTCATGCCACAGTGTGTTTGACAGTTTCAAAACACTGCCTTATCTTAGTTATCATGGCTAAACTAATATCTATTTTCCAATAGCTGAATTGCTTCCTATATATTTTGGTGATTTACACCCTCTTGTTAATAATCTTAACTACCAGGAGTGAAATGTTCACTTCAGGGTCTTGCTTTCTTAAAAATCAAGAAGGGCAAGATCATGATCTGAGATATACTACCTTGGAACAGAAAACATTTATCCCTCAAGCTACTGCTCATCTTGGGTCCCAGGAAGCTTCACTTCCCATCACTCATTGACACAGGCTGATGGAGTCATCATCTGAGTATTATTGCTGGCACAAAGGGAGAGGGAAAGAAACTTGATGAACTTGATACCAGCTCTAAGAGGTTTACTCCAGAAAGGATACAAGCCACTTCTCACATGCCCTTGGCCAGAGGTCACAGGACCCTGTAGAGAAGGGCAACCCAAGCACATGCTCAGGCGGAGGAGGAGGTAAGGGCAAATAGCTCTAATGTAGACCATATCCCAGGCCACAGTTTTTCATGAAAATCAATAAAGAGGAAACGGTATTTAAAAGGCATTCTTTGTATGGGACAGAAAACACTAACACCCAATATCATATGATGTTTTGCTCTCTCTGCTTTTCTACGTGAAGAAGAAATCCAGGTCTTCTCAGTATATGCTGTTGCCTCAAAGACTACAGTGACAGTGGTTATGGAAATCCTTTTCATTTCTTCCAAATACTATTAAGTACTTGAGTATGTGTACTTTTATCTTTTTGGTCTTTTGAGACAGGGTCTCCCTGTAGCCCCAGCTGGCCTGGCACTTGCTATGTAGACTAGGCTGGCCTTGAACTCACAGAGGTCCACCTGCCTCTGGGATTAAAGGCATGCACCACCACACCTGGCGAGCATGTGTACTTTCAAAAGCCTTCATTGACTGTTAATTGAACTCTGTTGCTGTCCTAGCCACTCTAGTGGGTCCAAAGTCAGCAAACCATAGTTAAGAGACCAAGTGAAGAAAACCAAGTCAGCAAACCAAGTGAAGAACTTTTCCTTTATTCAGTAAGAAAAGATGAAACTATATGAAAAGAGAAAGTCCAAGAATATGGAAATGCTCAGAGCTCCTTCACTCTCATGCTATTGCTGTTTCACACGGGCTCAAGCTTTATTCCTTCAGAGCCCAAGAGAAGAAATTGACAATGAGGGCAAGGTGAGCAAAGTGCAATGCTATAGTGTACCTGGAAGTGTTTTCTCAAATGTAGAGCAACTCAAGTGTGATGGTAGTCCCAGGAGGCTAAGGAAGGAGGATTGTGCACTCAAGACCAGCCTGGGTTACACAGTGAAATGAGGCCCTGTCTTGAAAGAAAGAAAAGGAAGGAAGGAAGGAAGGGAAGGCGGGAGGGAGGGAGGGAAGAAGGAGAAAGAAAGGAAAAGAAGGAAAGAAAAGAAAGTGGATCATCAGGGATAATCTTCAGGGTCTTCAGAGTAATTTTGAAATTCTACATTTTGAGTTCACTGACCTAGAAATTTAAAAAATTATTTATTATTTATTATGTGTATGAACGTTTTGCCTGCATGTATGTAAAGTGTACACAGGTCATGCAATGCCCACAGAGGCCAGAGGGCATCAGATCCCCTGGAACTGGAGTTATAGACTGTTGTGAGTTGCCATGTGGGTACTAGGAACAAAACCTGGGTCCTCCTTGAGAACAGCTAGTGCTTTAAACCACTGAGTCATCTCTCTAGCCCTAGAATTTTAATGTAAGTTTACTATTATTTATCAAGTACTGGCATTTGATTTCAGTGTCCCCATTTGTATTTCTCTTTTGTATCATATTGGGTCTCACTTATCAGAATTATTTTAATGTCAGACTCATGAGAAAAGAAGTAGACTAAAGGGCCAACAAAATAAGTCAGCGGGTAAAGGTGCTTGCCACCAAGCTGATCACCTGAGTTCCATCCCTAGAATCCACATGGTGGAAGGAGAAAACCAACTCCCTAATTTGTCCTCTGACCTCCATATAGATGCTGTGACACATTTGCATCCCCTCCTCCTCCAAAATCCCAAATAAATTAAATGTAAAAAATAATTTAACAATAACACCATCAACAACAAAAACGGACTAACTATATAAACACTATGTCCATGCATGTCAGGTCTTGTGGTCCAAGAAAATTTTCCAGTAAAAAGTGGGAGAGTAGAATCCTCTCCCCTGGCACATGAGTAGACACACTAACTCAGAAGAACCCATGCTGTGCATGTCAGTGCCATATTCAAAAGGAAAAAAAGGAAAAATAGACTGTGGCCGCTACTAGATTTGGCTGTTTTCAAAAAGAATGTGGCTTTCCATTTCTGATAAAATTGACTAAGATGTGATAAAAAACCTCTTAGTTATTACCAGTCCTTACACAGTAGGTAATTGATAATACATTACTGATAAGAGTGTAGTATAGTTCAATTCCAAGCACAAATCGCTGAAAAGGAATGTAATAAGATGACATGACCTTGGTCAGTCATTTGCTAAAAGAGGCTTGAGTAGGCTTTATCTAGTTGAGAAATTCATAACTTATTTTTCTTGATTTCTGTTGCTTGGAAACTGCTGAACAGATTCTCTTTAGATTCAACGACAAGACCCTGCCTTCTTGTTTCTCTGAGAGATCTTTCTTGGCTCTTCTGAGAGCTTGTGTCTTACAGGGTGCTGTGCCTCATGTGTCAGCTCAGCTCCCTTCTCCCAGCCCCACAGTCTCACCCATGACTCAGTTATCTCAAGCGTGCTGACCACTCCAAATCCAATTCCTCAAGTCTATCACCCTTAGACCCAATCCCAGAGCATCCATCTGAGCGTCGACTGAGCATCCTTTATCAAAATGCTTGGGACGAGAAGTATTTCAGGTTTCAGAGGGTTTTAAACTTGGAAATATGATTTGCATACAGTTTTTGGTTGAGCATCCCTAAAGCAAAAATCTAAAATATGAAATATTCTAATTTGAGTTGTGCCAGTGCTTAAAAGGTTTAGGATTTTAGAACACTTCAGATTTTCAGATTAGGGGTGCTCAGCTCAGTTTTGTCGTTTGTTTGGTTTTTAAATTTTGACTGCATACTTTAAATCTCAAAAACAAATACCATCTTTCTTACAAATCTGTTACTCTCCTGTTGTCTATATCAGTCAGGACCTTACCTATCCAGTCAACAGAGGCAGAGCCTTGGGGATCATCCCTGACTTCTTGGTCATCAGGTGCATGATAAGTATTTTATGTTCTCCATATAGCTTTATCTATACCTGTTTTCTGTGTGTGGCCATAATGCATGCGGACCCCTAGGCTTTGGAACATTTAGGCTGAATAGCTCTTCTTCGGCTTGGCTAATGTGGGAGGCTTGTCATTATCCATTAAAAAGTGACATTTGAAAGAAGGTAGATACATACACAAAGGGACCAGGATACTCCCTGGTAAATCAGAAATCATGACTATTTCCTTTGTTTCTGCTGGATGGGCCTAGATGGCCCTAAGGAAGTGCCTTTGTCAGAAATGCACCATTAGGGAGGGCC